CATGCGTTTACAGGAAGCGATTGATTTTCGAGTAAATTCTTTCCCAAAGTGTGTGCTTCTACCAAATATGAAAGTTCGAGGGTGTCAATAATTTTGCTCCATGTTCCATTTTGGAGTTGCTGTTTACGAATGCAATGTCAGATTTGGCGCTTTTCTCTCTGCTTCTCTTTGTGTGTGTTCCACAGTGCAAACAAAAAGAAATAAAGCATCGTGAATACAGACTTTTCTGGGCAGAAGAAATGCTGCCATTATCTGCAAAGAAGTGCCAGGGTGCCAATATTTTTTGGCCATGACTGTATGTATTGTTTATAGGATTAGATAGAGCAAAGTGTTTACCACTTTAAGGTAAGTTTACGTTCACAACTATGCAAGGCAATGCGCGATGCCGCCATGCTCAAGAAACTCTGTAACTGAAATAAGTTTGGCGTACGATTGGTGGTTAGCGCACCTGATCATGATGAGGCGTAGCCTGTGCCCTGTTGTTTATGTTTTTTGAAATGCTCTCAGTTCTCCCATTCATGTTGAATCTTTAGAGAAGATCCTGCTTACTGCCTCTGCAGACAGTCAGCCCAGCTTGCTCCTGCTTCATTCTCCTCAGGAAGTTCACTGTTGATCTTCACCAAATTGCCTCTCTCTGCCTCCTCTGATCTTCATCCTCAGCGCCAACACCTCCTCATCCTCCCTCTGACTCCCCGAGCATCTGCGGTAATCTGGACTCAGAAGCTTGTGCATCTTCTTCAGCTCGTCTCTATCTCTCTCTTTTGGACAGATGAGACCAAAATAGAGCTTTTTGGTAAAGCACATCATTGTTCTGTTTACAGAAAACGAAATGAGATCTTCAAAGCAAAGAACACAGTCCCTACGGTCAAGCATGGTGGAGGTTCACAGATGTTTTGGGGTTGCTTTGCTGCTTCTGACACTGGGTGCCTTGACTGTGTGCATGGCATCATGGAATCTGAAGACTACCAAAGAATTTTGGAGTGCAATGTAGAACCCAGTGTCAGAAAGCTGGGTCTCCATCAGAGGTCATGGGTCTTCCAGCAGGACAATGACCCAGACCATACTTCAAAAAGCACCCAAAAATGGTTTAAGACAAAGCGTTGGAGAGTTCTCAAGTGGCCAGCAATGAGTCCAGATCGAAATCCCATAGAACACCTGTGGAGAGATCTCAAAACAGCAGTTGGGAGAAGGCACCAATCAAATCTGAGCAACCTGGAGCAGTTGACAAAAGAAGAGTGGTCCAAAATTCCAGTAGAGAGGTTTCTTTAACTCATTCATGGTTACAGGAAGCGATTGATTTCAGTAATTTTTTCCAAAGTGTGTTCTACCAAATATGAAGTTGAGGGTGTCAATAATTTTGTCCAGTCCATTTTTGGAGTTCTGTTTAGAATGATGTCAGATTTGGCTTTTCTCTCTGCTTTTTTGTGTTGTTCCAATGCAAACAAAAGAAATAAACATGTGAATACAATTTTCTGGGAGAAATGCTGCATTATCTGAAAGAAGTGCAGGGGTGCCAATATTTTTGGCCATGACTGTATGTATTTTTATAGATAGAGAGAGCAAATGTTACCACTTAAGGTAAGTTTAGTGTCACAACATGAAGGCAATGCGGATGCCGCATGTAAAACTTGTAACTGAAATTAGTTTGCGTACGATGTGGTAGCGCACTGATCATGATGAGGCGTAGCCTGTGCTGTGTTTATTTTTAAATGTCTCATTTCTCCATCATGTTGAATCTTTAGAGAAATCCTCTTACTGCTCTGCAGACAGTCAGCCAGCTGCTCCTGCTTCATTCTCCTCAGGAAGTTCACTGTGATCTTCACAAATGCCTCTCTGCTGCTCCTCTGATTTTCATCCTCAGCGTCCAACACCTCCTCATCCTCCCTCTGACTCCCTGAGCATTCTGGGTAATCTGGACTCAGAAGCTTGTGCATCTTCTTCAGCTCGTTCTTGACAAAAGTGACCATGTTCTCCTCCAGCAGCTGGAACAGAAAACTATATGAATGACAGCATCAAACATCAGATCCATGTTGGACAGACTGACAGTCCACTGGTCTGAAAGTGCAGCATGGAGATTATTGTGAACACAACAGATGGAGCAGTAGTTGTTGTACATGTACAGACCATAAATATGGAGTCCAGCTGTGTTTGATGCTGCTGGGCAGACTGAGCACTGGGAACCTCTGAGCTCTCCTGGTCCACTCTGTGGAGGAATCATGAAGAATGAGCTCACATTATGTCTGTCCACACAGAGACAGACACAAGCTAAAGGTCCATGAAGTCACGTTTGGATGTGACAGCCAATCAGACGACTCCCTGTAGCGGTAAAGGTTTACTAGTCCTGCCGATCCCACTGAGAATCAACAGCTCAGTCTGCAGCTGTTTGTAGCTTTCAGCTCAGTGTTTGCTTTAGTCCCAACAGCTCTCACCAACCCTCCACTGTTTTACCTCCACCTTCCAGTGAGGACGTTCACAACAGACACAAACACTTTGATTTCAGACCAGGTCCAACAACACGTCGTACAAACTAGTTCTTTTCTACAATAACCTGAGTCTTACTGTCAGTTACAGCTTACATCTGATCAGCTGATGGACGTCGCCCTTTAAACTCAATGAAAACATCCTTCGACAGGTCGCTCTTTAAAGACAGACAGCTGGGTTCAGGAGAGTCTGGTCTCTGCTGCTGGATCCTGAAACAAAAACAGAACTGATAAATGTGCATGTTGAATAAAAACTGATGAAAAATATCTTCAGTAGCTTATTAAACAGAACAACTGAATTTAAGTGAGAAACGTCTTTGTCAGATTTAAATTCTGACCTTCTTGATCTTCTGACTTGTAGAGGACGATCTATGGACCCGTCACTCCTCATGGACACACAGATGGATCCAGGTTCTTCCAGTTTCCTCCTGAAAGACACAGGATTTAATCTGAAGTGCTTCCAGAACACAGTCAAACAGTCTTTTGTGGATACAGTTAAGAAACCAGGATAAGTGTGTTTTTTAACCACTGAACAGACAACCTGTTGAACATGCAGTTCAGTGGATCAATGTGAAAACATGAAAACAGAGCCATGAGAAATGGTTCATGCACATGTAGCTGACAGCTGAGCTGTCAGAGGAGATGAAGGTTCAGAGAGAAGGACGTCTCATTTCTCTAAAACCATGTCTCCTTGTCTCCTCGTCTCCTCACATCTTTTCCTTCATCATCTCTCATGTCTTCAGTCGGAGGGACGAAGACGCAGGGAAGAGATGCGAGAGGGAAACGAGGATTTAAGGGAATTGAGATGATCCATGTTTTATACTCAGTCGTCTGACAACAGGAACAGAGGGTTCAACAGTCAGACTGTGTGTGTGGAGGAAATGTTAAATTGAGTTCTGCAGTTAAAGACTGGTTAAACTGCACAGCTTTCAGATATGAGAATATAAACATGAAGAAGAACGATGCTGTAAATAAACACATGAATAAACCTCTGGATACACAGCTATTTAAACATCAGCAATATTATCATGTGAGTTACAGCCTACCTCTTTGCAACAGGTTCAGGTCCAGGTCCAGGTTCAGGTTCAGGTCTACGTCTATGTCCAGGTCCAGGTCCACTTCCAGGTCCAGGTCCAGCAGAGTGTGGTGTGTCTCTAACCCTAACACACACAGAGCTTTGAGTGTGAATAATGATGGAGCAGTGATGTGAGTCATGGACAGTTAGAGATCCTCATCTCACCTCTGAGCTCTGGTCTGGCTCTCATGTTCCCCACACAGAGTGGTTTTAGAGGGAGGGGCTCCCTCCTCTCTGTCCTCACACTGATCCATGCTGCTGAGTTCACATCCACATCAGCTCACACACACTTTCTACCTTCATGTGGAGAGAAACACACATCATTCATCTGCACATCAACTCAAATGTACATCATTTCTCCAGCTGCTCCTCCACTGATTGGCTCTTCTTCTCTGTTTCATATCAGTGTGAGGCAGAGGAAGCTGCCATCAGCTGCTGTACTTCTACCATCCGTCCACTAGATGGCGTCATGAAGCTGCAGTGACGTGATTCACAACTACAGAAATCACCAGAAAGAGGCTGATGTGAGGTGAGTCAGTCTCTTTACTCACAGGTCTGTCAACAAAACACACATATCCCACACAGAAATATTATGATCTAATTAAGATTCAGAGAAATCCCTCAGACAGAAATATTAATTAATTAATAAATAAGTGGAAACTGAACAGTGCAGTGCAACAGGTCTGTAAACCAATAGAAATCAAGAACATAGAACCAGGTTACCAGTAAGTTTACACTGTAATGAACATTAAAATGCTCCTGACATGTTAATGCATCTGGAATAATACAATAATAACTAATATAGAATAATATAACAAGTAATTCTTTGGATGCAGGATTATAACTTGTAAAGGAGAATTTCTAAATTGCCTTATTTCTCCATTAAGTGTCTGAACACTTTATCCTCCCTCAGAGAATCTAGAGCTGTCATGGGGCCCCTTTCAGTCGGGCCCCTGACGTATTAAACAAGTTGTTCAATAGTTAAATCTGAACCTGCATAAAGTACCAGCAGCAAACCAACAACCAAAACAACAACAGAGACATAGATAGGTGTCGCTTCAATAAAAATACCAGATATGTTTTGACAGACAGCTTTTCTGTTTGTGTTCAGTCATAGATATAATCACCTACCGGAACAGCAGAAATGCTTTATTGTCAGAGGATTTATGGAGATGTATTATCAAATTGATTATGTATGTATCTTAATAATGCCCATTTTGCAATAAATACATTTTAAAAAATCCTTATTGAGAGAAAAAGGCTCCACTACAAGTAAAAATCCTGCTTAATAATTTTACCAGAGTAAAAGTTCCCAAGTGTTTTTAGTCAAATATAGTTAAAGAATCAAGTATCATGCAGAATGGACTCTGTCATTATTATATCATCATATTATGTGAAAAGTAACTGTAGCTGTGAAATTAATGTAGTACAAGTATAAAGAAGCAGAACATGGATATACTCTAGTAAAGTACAATTAAGATTGTAATTAAGTAAAGTACTGGAGTAAATGTACTTAGTTACTGTCACAATCAGACACACCCCTCCAAATAACTTGAAGAGACAGCTCCAAAATAAATGACTGACAGTCTCAATAAAGTGTTCACAATAAGATCAAATCTTAATTCAAAGGAAATCTCTTTCATTACGTCACTGATGACGTTTAAACCCCAATTTTTTAAATTTTTTTGAAAGAAAGGGAAGTTCGTTTGGAAAGTGGCAGGTTGTGACGCAGTGGTCTTTCTTGAATACGGCCATGATTACTTTCTTTAATAAACAACAACAGCCCGCCACACTGAGTTCCACATTAGTCCTGACAGTGTAAATCTAATGACAGGACCGTTCACCCACAGAGAGTCACAGCTGTTCTCCAGCGGCTGTCCCGGCAGAGCTCAGGCCGCGATTTATGGCTCAGAACAGCGGGAGAAGCAGCAGCTCATCCCCGCCTCCTCCACAGGCTGATTCAGGGCGGGAACAGCTGCTCCAGTCCTCCAGCAAGTTGGAGCTAAACAGTAATAACGAGTTTAATAATAACTGTTATAACTTGTGTTCAAACCACCGACCATCAACTGGGACTCTATTTCTACTCTTATTCCCCCGCCTTTCACTGAAAACATCGAAAACAAAACATGGCGGAACATTTTTGAAAGTTGCTGTTGAAGCTTTTACAGCTTCTGAATCATTTACAGGTAACGATAACTTCAAATAACAAACAACACACGGAATAACATGAAGCGTTAGATTTACTCAGGTAACGACACGTGTTAACGATGAAAACATTGAAAACTGCTCACATTACCTCAGAGGAGAAAACATCTGGATCAATGTAGAAAGTGAAAAACTAAAAATCAACAAGGAGAACAGGAAGGAGGGAAGAGTCAATGGAGAAATAACTTAAACTTGGAAACATTTGAGCACAGAAGTCCTGAAATATCTCATCTAAAACTTGGATGATGTTCGGTTGAGCAGATGAATGTAAATGTAATGTTCAGCCTCCTTGAATCTCATTGATTGACTTACCAAGAGTTTGTTTTCATCACCTTCACTGGTTTGTTTACAATAGCATTGTTTGATTATTGGATTCAGGAAATTGAGCTCAAAGGAACTAAAGTATCTCCAATTGAACTGTAAGGACTCTGGCTTCTTCATTAATGCATTGATGTGGGCGCCCCTCTACGTGCTGGAAAGAAAAACTAATGTTCGATGATGTAAGTTTAATGTACACAGATGAAAAATGATTTAAAAAAAAAGACTTTGTTGTCAGAATGTTTACTAATGACTGATGTTAATGACACTGATACCAACAGTGATGTCTTCAATACAAACATTCATGCTTCATATTAATGTGAATGGAACTAGACTGGTAAAGGGGAAAGAGACTCAGAGAAGCATGAGCACTGATTTATCAACCAAATGGTTTGTAAAGGCATATTGTGAAAATTTATAAAAGCAGTATACTTTTTATATACTTTCAGATAGTACACTTTCTTTGTCAGTAAATACTGCAATGTACAAAATAATATAACTCTCTCTGGCTACACGACACAGACACTGAGAGGAGTCGCAGAACCAGGACCTTAAAACCTTAAAACCCAGGATACAGAGTCAGTGAAGTGGTGCGAAGGTTGGAGTGGATCAGTTTGTTAGAGGAGACTCTGTAGAAAGGACAGAGCAGCCAGCAGGGACAATCCACATATATGCCTGTACTCTGTTAGGGACAGAGGAGGAGGAGGAGGAGGAGGAGAGAGGATGTCACACTGTCTTATTGTGACTGACAGAAGTTAACCATCAGCAGAACATTTTCAGACTCCCAGGACTGAATCGTTCCCTCCAAGCCTGCGTTCTTTCACTGTTCTCCTTTCCTTCTGTATTACCTCGTAACTCACTTATACATTCAACGCCTCCTCTCCACTACGGAACCTCCCAGTAACAGCGACCAGTCAGACCAGTTGAACAGCAGCAAGCTGAGCCAGAGGTCAAAATCTGTCTGGATGATCAAGGATCATGACTGCATCCTCCGTCACAAGATTGCACCTTTCCTGTTTGTTGTCAGGACAGGTTTGATCCTTCTGTTCACTGTGTTTGTGTCGATTGTGATTCACAGGAATCTGATGGAGAGAACAAGACACAAGTACTGCAGTTATTTGATCATACTGACAGTTATTGACAGTTTTGATGATGACTCCCTGACATCAGTGATGTGACAGTTTTGAAGATTTGGCTTGAATGTGCGCTGGGCTTGTTTTCATCAATCACATTAAAAAAAACACACTTGACACTTCCTCAGACCTGGTTCTCAAACCATTGCGACTTCACCGCTCCGCCCTGAAAGGAGGAGGGGGGTTAGACCAGCACGTTCTCTGTCAGCATGACACACATGGGACATTACATGGCTCTCATACACAGGACTGTATGATGTAACTGTGTTCAGATGGAGGCTTTTGTGTGTATGATGTACATTGACCCACAGAGAAACAGAAGTGGAGTCATTCATCTTTAATGATACAGAGCAGGGAGGAGACATGGAGAAGATACTTCATCACCTTGTCTAATAGTTAAAGTCTGCAACCTGCATAAATTCCCCTCCTCTATCAGACAGCTGGTTGTGTGTCTGCAGCAGGCCTCTACATACCTGAGAGGTGCCAGTCTCCAGTCTGGATCCTCCAGTCCAGCAGACAGAAGCCTTCATCCTGAGTCTCCTGGATGATATGTAGCTCAGGTACCAGCTCTCTTCAGTGTGGGAGGGGTTGGAGCTCAGAGCTGAGGCCAAGAAGAAGCACAGCCTTCCTCTGTGACCAGACATCCCTGAAACAGACTGAAACACACAAAACAACACACAGGAACCCTCTGTCAACACCTGACTTGCTCTGTTAAAACTGTCATCAGATAAACAGGTGATGGATCCTGACCTGAGAGTCTCAGTGTACAGATTGGACTCTCCATCCAGCCAGAACAACAGCTTTCACTCCTGAGTCCTGCAAGTCGTGTTACTCAGGTCCAGGTGTCTCAGACTAGAGACTGGGAGCTGAGGACTGAGGACAGAAGCTCCACAGCCTTTCTCTTTGAGAGGTTACAGCCACTGAGTCTGAAGAGATGATCATGAGGAATTAAGAAGAAAGGAAGTTATTTTTTCTTTCCTGTTTGAAAAAGACAGAAGTGCTTGTATATAAGATGAATAAATTCAAACTCTCCTACACTTACACACTTTTTTTTTGAGACCTTGACCAACGTGCAGCAGCTTTCAGAAAAAGCCTTCCTCTGAAGCAGAGTATTTCTTTCAGGTCAAAACACGTCCAGATGTTCTTCTGGAGGACAGTAAGATGAAGACCAGAGCTGACCATTATGAGCAGGAGACAGTTTATCTGTGAGAGTACGTCCTTGATCTTCCAGGGACTGTGGATCTGCTCCACTAGAGAACGATTCATTCAGTTTCATTCAGACAGTGGAACAGCGGTTGATGCTGTTCCTGCAGAGGGAAGTCTCGTCAATCTTGCTTCTTGATGTATTGGACTGTTTCCCTGATGAATCTTGAAGCCACTTCCTGTCTGTTGTCATCAGGCCTTGTTAGGAGAGTCTGATTTGGTTCTGCAGTGAAAGACCCAGAGGAAGCGAGGAGGAACAAGGTTCCATGTTCCATTTGGACTCCTGTAACGGCCTTCGTCCCACAGCTCCATGGTAGAAGTTTGTCTCTGCAGATTCGTCTCGTCTTGGTTCAGACTTCTTGGAGGTTGATTGTTCTTCTGACATCAGATTAGATTGAGTCAGACATTTGAATGAAGTTCAGATGGACATGAAAGAGCAGCCAGGAAGAAAACTCCTGAACACTCAGATGGACGAAGCAGAACACCTTGTCCCTTTGCGTACAGGCCTCTCTCCTCTTTAAAGATCTGTTGTGAACACTCCTTGAGTACACTGAGGCCTGCTCTGATATCGATGCCACACTCTTGTTCAGGTTCTGATTCATAGAAGATCAGTGTCCTGTCTGCAGCTGCTCAAAAGCCAGTTCCCAGAACTTCAATCATCTATCCTGCGCTTGGGACTCCAGTGTGGAATCTGTCTCTGAATCCTCCGTCATACGTGACCTTCTTACAGTTTTTAGACTTGCGAACCAACCAGGAAAGGGTGCACACTCCCAGCAGGGTCATTGGGCAGCTCTTCCTCCCGTTCTCTGTTTTCATCAACGCGCGTGCGCGTGCCAGAAACTGTAGCAGTGATCCAGCAGGAAAGACCTGGGATGTGGCACCATATGATGTGGACGGCTTCGTGATGTCTTGATGTGGGAGATTGAGCTGCTGCCTGCTCCTACATCTACTATACTTCTTCCTAGAAGTATCTATACGCGTGCGCGTTCTGTGGGCTCAGTGAACCCTCTGACACTCTGTCACCATGTCAAACACACTCAGTGGAGGGATCTGATGCGCTGCGCAGGTCGTGCTGGTTATCCAGAGGCAGGCAGAGTTAAGCAGTTCCCCTGATAGGTTTGTCAGCCAGCACGTCCACTGAGGTGGACTCTGTAACATCAGTCAGGATTCTCAGTTGTGGTGGAAGTCCAGAGGGAAGTCGACACTCATCCAGACTGTCAAAGGATTGAACACCACCTGGAAACTGATCAAACCTGCAGGATTCCTGCTTCTGTTTGTTTCAGTAAAGAAGTGACATGAACAAGGTTCACCAAGCTGAACTTTCTCTCTGTCAGCACATTCAGCTCTTCTGAAGGTGAATGGAAATGTGAACTGTATGTCCTGGTTGGCTTGTCTTCAGCCCAGTCCAGAGTGAACTTCTGTTTAAGACCTGTTTTCCAATGCAGCCACTCCCAGTGTCACACTGTTCTGATTGGTCCGTCTCTTCCAGGTGAGGCTTTAAAGATGTCTTCTTGTCTGATGGTTGTTTCTGGTCTGACTGGTTTCCTGGATGCTGTTTCAATCTGTCTGACCTCATGTTCATCATTGACCTCTCCAGTCCCTCCCTCTGTGATGTAGAGTTCTGTGTAGATCTGGTTCAGAAGGGTTGGGTTTCCTGCTTTAGAGATCCCCTCAAACACACACTGGAACTTCTTCTTCAGGTTAGATTTGAGTCTAGTTTGGCACATAGCAGGAGATTCTGAAAGAACACAAAAGTATATTTTCTTTAAACAGTAACACTACTTAACACCAATTTTCAGAAGCTGTATCTTTTCCACCAACAAGAGAATGGAGTAAGACTCTAAACAAAGTCACGCTGTTAGCTACTCATCGCTCTTGCCCCTCCCATCCTGATTCCCGACACGATGGATGCCTGGTTGACCAGTAAAGAAGGTTTACAGATTGGGATTCATAGCACATAGTTTATAATTATTCCACACATTATTTGTAGTGGTTGCCTTGACTTGGTTATCTATTTTGATGAGGAGATAGCATAATGCTAGCAGTTAAGCTAATTTGGCTTAACAACATGAAGGCAATGGGGGTGCAGCATGTAACAACGATTCAGTAGCGCACTGATCATGATGAGGGGAAGCCTGTGTTGTGTTTATTTTTAGGGTGACAGTGAATTTTGTGCATTAAGTGAGTGATGGTCCACCCGTCCTCTGGGTCAAGATGAGAGAGTTGAGATTTGTTGTAGGCAAAGAA